GAGAGAATCAGAAGGTAAATAAAATTTCAAATGAACATCTTTATCGTTTTTGGCTAAATATGCCAAGGTTACTCCAAACCCATCTTTTAAAAAGAGGGGTACTTCCCTGAAGGCCTTATTCAGAGCAACTAGCTCATATTTACATTACACATTGGGTAAACCACAAATACACGCATACATTGAGCTCTTTCACCAAATTCTAATCCAAGTCTAACTACCACTGTTCAGCAGTTTTATACATTGAATCACCTAATGGATCCATTTTTTTCGCCCGTTGTTTTATCCCAATGTAGAGTTGCACACTCAATTCCTTATCATTGGCGGTAACTGCATCCAGGCTCTGAGGTATGTACATGGCTTCATGTAGTTAGGAAAAATTTTGCATATTTTATCAGTGAACTATCGAGTTCACCACTGGACGAATTGTTAAAGATGGCTATACACTGATATTTCAACATGGATTGGAATCTTGACGAATGAATCGGTTTCATTCATGGTTTTGCTATTTTCTTGTGTGCAATGTGACTGCGAGCTACTTTCCCTTAGAGAATCTTCTGCAAAGACATTCCTTTCTTTAGATGGATAGCGGTAATTTTTTTTTTCCCCATAATCGATTAAACAAATTGTGGCTGCCGAGCTCCATGTGAGATTTCTAGGTGTAGAAAAGCTTTCCCCGCGTGTTTCCCTTTTTTCTAACGCGGAAAGCTAGCATAATGTGCTTAATAAGTCACAAATTATCCTCCTCATCGAATTTCTTCCAATTCAATATGCTGCTATACATAAGTGGATTCCTTCGGTGTCTGGCACAATTAAGGCTAGCTCTAAGCGTTTTGCTACCGCGGAAAATCTTCCACTTTTCAATTCTACCACTGCTCAAGTTTATTCCTGGAGCTTCTTCAGCAGCTCTTGTGCCGGCTCATTAAGCGCTGATAATAGCAGTGTGAAGACGCAAAATCCTTCATTGGGTTGTATCTATACCATTATATAGCGATGTTAGTGGCTATCGATGAGAATAAAATAGCAGACAATGTTAGAAATTATATTCTGATAAGCAATCTAGAGCATATCTCTCAAAGAAAATGCAGTTGTTTGTAATGTTTTATGGATTTAGTGGGCACGGCGTATTTGTTATTCAACAAATATTCAGTTCAAGGATTTTAATTTAGGTCTATTAAGCATATAAGCGTAGGCAACACTAAATTTTTAAAAAGTTCATTTTTTATCGACTTGTACATGAAGATTATAAGTTTACAAGTTTCACATTTTAAGCTGGATTCTGATTGTAAGAATTAGCTCTCATAATCATGCATAATATTTAATCTTTTCGATCGAATTTACGTTACTCTCAAAGCAAGGGTTCTTCAAATTTATTTTTTACCATGAAAAAATTTATAACATATGTAACATAAAAATTTTTACAAAATCTTCTGAGACCAAAACAGTCCACTTTATACTATGCTAAATTTATCGGCAGTACTTTTTTGTTAAAGTGGCTACCGCATAAACCTTTGGTGTCATTTTAAATTTACATGTTACAGAGGTAAAAAACTATGTTTGGCAGTTTTGTGCACTGGTTGCAGTTAATCAATGGCCGCTTTAACGAGGAAGTAATTGACCCTCTTTATCAGAAAGAATAAATTTTGCCCCTGATGAAAAGTACCCTCTCTGATTTCGCTCGAGATCAGCAGAAATTTTTCAAAATCTAGGCTAAACTAAGATTTCTTTTATGCCTAATTTCATATGTTACTTTGGCGTGTTTCTCTTCCAATGTATTCTATTAGTTTCTCTTCTTCCAAAGGAGTTAATTATTAGAAAATATCACACAAGGAAACTTAAATAAAAGATTTTTTTATTCAGGAAATCTACATACATAACAAAAGAGGTTTTTAAACATTTCATTGAAATAAGATATAATTGTCAGAGATAAAATATTTCAATCAAAAAGATTCAGTCCTTAAACACTCTGAAATTTAATACCGCAATGTAACAGATTGTGAAGAATGTTACCCATATCAGATGACGAATTAATGGTCTATGAATGATACTAATAGACAACTTTGGTGTGAACTGTTTTTAGAATTTATTCAGAAATGATATTATACTTTTATATTTTAACCATTTTACAGTAATGAAAGTTGCTTACTATAATATAGAATTTCTCAAAATACTGATGTGGTCCAACATGTATGTCTGTTATGTACGAAACTGCATTCATAAAAAAAGAGTCTTTTGTTCTTTTGCCACCCCCTCCCGAATACCTATGTTAATAATCTATCAATATCTATCTTATATGCGTGCATATTTGCATGCATGTACACATTCATCTACAGTGAAAGCTTTAGCTGAAACAAAAGAAATGAAATCATGGAATTATGCAAATCAAGGATATACGTATGGTTACTGTTTAAAGGTGATCGAATATTCACGCTTCAAGGTTCCAGTTGGTCATGGGAGAAGGATCCAAAAGTAAAAATATTTTCGTGAGACACATGTTGGTTGTTTTTAGTGAAAAGTATTAGTGTGAAAGAAACCTTGTGCTGTAACAATGTTTTCGGTCATGACTGGTACCATAACTTATCATAAAGGCCATAACTGTCGTCCGCTAAGCCAAGCAGAATGCTTAAACGCCGGGGCACAAAATTATGCCTGCAAAATACTGTAATATGTGTTGGCTGAAATATCACTATTATTCAATACTGCATACTGCATATTGCATTGACTTCAAAGACATCGGAGAACTGAATAGCGAAGAAGTAGAGCGCAGTATCGAACCTCTATGCAAATGGTTCATCATATCAGAAAAATTGGCAGTGATTTTGTGTAAAATTAACTATTCCTTACGTACTTCTACAATATCTACACAGACTACCAAAAGACCTTTGTATGACTTTCTTGTCTTTGCTATGTTTTTTGCTGTCAGTATTCCATTAAGTCCAAGTTATCATAATGGGTGGCCAGCTTGACATACTATAAAGCTTGACAGCATTGGAAGCTCGAAAACAGTATTATCTTCTATAGCGATAGTTACATTTTGGTCTTGTCTGGAAAGTAAGAATAATATTGCCAGCAAAATATTCCAATCTACATGAGCAGTTGTCCATTTTTTGACATTATAGCGTGTGGCGACATAATGAAAAAGTAAATACACCCATTTAAATTTTATCAAATATTGTACTACCGTAAAATATAGAAGGAGCATATGGCAATCCTGATAGTATATGGATATTTATTGTTTCTTTCCGGACATCTGGCATCGTTTTCCTGAAACCAGCTTTCGGATGTATGGCGACATAGTGATCGCATTAGTGATTTTCAGAACAGAGGTCAGATGCATGTCTGTTAACCTAGATCTCGCTGAGGACTTGTTCCTTTTTATAAGCGAGAAAAGTTATTCGAAATTATAAATCAAAAGTCTTATGCGTGCCACAGTTTGGCATGCCTGCTCTAACTCATACTCCACAAACATTCATAGCTCAATAAGATATTGATTTTGCTAAATAATCAGCCCTGCAATCATTCTTAAAATGTACTCTACACATCTCTTTTCTACAGAAGAATGCCAAAATGCATGCTGCCCACGTTCCTGCATGTGTAAACACATGAAATCCTTTCAACCCATTTGTACGGACTTGATGTGTTGACATAGCCTTTATGTCTCGAAACTTGTCATCCATAAAGACCATCTGGGATATCATCAGTCAGCAGCTGCAAAAAGCTCCGCTAGTCTTGAACTTTGATGCTTTCATTGGCAGAGTTTATGCAGCAAGGTAAGATTAATGATCGAATTGATAATAAGTGTTTTTCTACTCATATTGCGCATAAAGGTTTGTAAATAAACCAATTCTGTTGCCTTGCATATTTACTGCTCATGTTTAATTCCCAGCGTACCATAATTACATCTTCATTCTTCCCTCATGATTTGTGTAAACATACTGCTCTTCCTTCATGATGTTCGTAGTATCACTATTGTTGAATGTATATGTGTGCATTTAGTATTTATTTAGTTAATTATTAACAGTGGCTATTAATTTTAGATTCTATTAATTTTATACAGTCAAAAGTCTTTAATCCGGACGTCCATAATGCGAAATGATCTATAATCCGGACCTCAAAGCTACAAATTTCTGCGCATGCGTAGCTTTTACGCATGCGCGTAATACGTTTACGCTTGCCCGTTTAATGTATAACGGATGGTATAAGCTAAGCTAAAATTATCTAATTATCTATTTCAGTTCATGTTGCAGATTGCGTTGTTCCTTAATCTTCTGATTGAATCCGGCTTATTATTTTTTGCAGACTGTTAGAGCAATTTTATAAAAGTAAGCTTGAACTTTGGATTATGTCAAAAAGAATTTCCGGTTCTAGAGCTGCCAAAGGATCTACAAAGCGAAAGCATGTTTCGATGTCCATCAAACAAAAAGTGGAATTGCTGCAAAAAATGGATAAAGGCCTTTGTTTCTCTAATCATTCCGAAATCTGTTTATCAATTTCGCGCTGCTCTGTGGGGGGTGGGATGGGCTATGAACTGGAAGTTGATCTGTCAGCACTATCCTTATCTTCAGGACAGCTGTTTTTATTTTATTCGGCATATAATTCCTTACTAAATGTAGTATTTTCATCTCGATGTACTCCGTCTTTGATATGATTTAAATCAAATTCCTCGTTATTATGAATATCACGAATACACATCAAATAATTTTCTGGTTGCAATTTTCTAATTTCGACTATGCGTAATATAAGCTTTACGTATGCGCGCGTTGAAAGAAATGTTTAATAAAGTAAACAAATAAATATTCAGCTTTTTTTTTTTTTTTTTTTTTTTTTTTTTTGTAAATTTTGATACCCTTTAGATCATAATTGCTCTTTGTTTCATAAATTACGGTTTCATATTTTTAATTTTATAATTTCTGCTTGCCATCTTACAAGATTTAATTTCTGCTTGCCATCTTACAAGATTTAAATTAATTATCTATAATCCGGAAAAACCGATAATCCGGAATCGCCGAAGTCCCGACGAGTCCGGATTAAAGACTTTTGACTGTATACACATTTTTTATTAATTTTTTGATTCGTAAATATTTATTCTTAAATTTATTTAACTAAATTAATTTCACCATTCTATAGGTACCACGCTTGCAATAATTCATGATATTTTGTTTATATTATACTTTTACGCAGCCTAATAAATAACTTTAAGTATCAGTTCTCTTTTTAGTAAAGCAAAAGTGCCAAGACCTTTAATTTCCACTTGCTTTTCATCCTCTTTTCTGATGTCAAAGTTATAAATACTATTTTAATTTCATTATCATGAAAGTCTGAATATGTATACACAATGAATACAGAACAAAATTAAGTTTATCATTTTTATGCACAAGAATTGCGAGCTTCTATTTATATTCTTTGGTTTCCAAGACTCGGTATATTATATATATACATTGCTCTGGAACATAAGTTAATGTATCATTAGAAGACTAATTCCAACCTGTCTGTTAAATCAAGTTTAAAACCAAACTGAAAGCAGAAGCAATAGTTTTATGCTTTTAATAAGTAGTTATACAAATAATCATTACTGATTAAATATTATTTAATTATTATAAGATAGAATGTATGTCGCTTAAAAGTGCGGAATTTCTTATTTTTCTTCTGAGTTGTTATTTGAAAAATGCAAGAAACGTATGTACATTGGGATTAAAATTACTCTTATCAGCAGCAATATAATTCTTTTACCAACAAGTGAGTGTTGTTATTTAGGAGCTTCATATTTTTTTTAATTCTTTGAGTATTTAATGTGTTTTAAATCTCATATTAAATATGTCCTCGTAAGCTCATTATGTTTTATATAATTGTTGGAACAATTTTTAAAGAGAAAATAATACGGATAAATACGTTTCATGCATGTAAAATTATATAAATTTTATTTAAACTGACGTATTATCGCAACCACCTTGAGGTAGTTTGGAAGGTTTTACTGAAGGAGAAGAACAGCTGATTTGGTTTATTTGATTTTGGCAAAGCATTCGAAGGCTCTCTGCCTTTGGGAAGGGATGCCTTTTGTGAGGGAATTTCTAAGGAAACTGACTCGTATAGATGTTACACATGGAAAACATGAAAGCGCCCCTGCAGTCAGCCCGTTTGCCGGGATTCGAACCCTGGACCGAACTAGCAGTGTTCAGCGACTTTACCGCTCGGCCGCTGGTGGGCGCTGTGAGAAAGAATTCGAAGCATTGTTCCTTTAGCTATTTTGAGACCAAATAACGTATTCCTCCTGAAATTTCTTCTCGCTTTCTACTATTACAGCAAAATCCTATAAACCCAAATTTTAAAATCAAGTTTAAGACAAAAAAAAAAAAAAAAAAAAAAATCATAATTGTTCTATAAAAGCCGTTGAAACTTGGAATGCAACAAAAAGAACGCATACGAAACTAACTATGTTGGAAACAGAATATTTTTCCTGCGCATGGTTGCCCGAATAATTGTTATGGGCGGGGTTATCAAAATCTGGTATATTCTGAAGCTTTGGCGATTTCTACTAAGGTGGTTGCGATAATACGTAAGTAATCAACTTTAAATATACGCTCTTCAGATGTAATGTAATATCGAATATTTTTACGCATCATGTATGTATTAAAAATATTTCACAAAATTTCTTTCTGGGAGATCTTTTTACGCATATTTATTACAGTTTTCCAAAAATTAAACAAATGAACATTTCACTTAGGTCTATACTATGGAGATGGTAAAATTATATACTTTTAATCTTTAAAGCAGAATCGTTTACTTTATTTCCGGTAATGCTATGCACTAAACAAAAAACATTTTATGCGTTATTTGTTTGTATGTTATGAAGAAATTTTGAATTTGAAATTTTGATGATAATATAATAATATCGAAAAATTAATATATTTAAGAAACAGATAGTTATAGACGCCGATAACACGTGTAAATTAAGGTTTGAAAGGTTTATTTAAATCCTCAGAAAATCTTTTATTATTAATTGTTGTCTGACTTTATTAAATAATATTTTGAACATGCTTTCGTGCACAAGAATTAAGGATAATCACAAATCACGTCAAATGTTGCCCTACAGAAGGTGATTTTCCATGTGAAATGTTCTATACCGTTTTCTGAAGTATTCCAGAGTTATGATTTGCTCCAATGATGAGATAAGAGCTTAACACATATCACGTTAAATATATTATAAGGTATTTCTCCCGCTTTTCTAACGTGCCTTCGTGGTGTAGTGGTTCTGCACGCTGGGCCGGTATTCCAGAGCTCTGTGGTTCGATTCCCGGCGAAGGCGGTTGCTAATTTTTTCATCTTGCCTGCTTCCAAATTAACCTGATGTCTCTACAATATGATGAATTAAAAAAAAGGGGGGGGAGTTTTACAACCAAAACAATGCGGCACTTGCTGGAAGAAAAGCACTTGTTGAGTCATATTCATTTAGTATGTAAGATGTTTGTACAACCGTCTTACATACTAAATGACATCTTCAGTGACTCTTCGAGATTTAGCACCCAGATTAATTTTCCCCAGCTTGTCACCTGAAGAAAGCCTGCTGCATACTGTTATCCCTTCAACATGACAGAAATTGACCACTATGGAAGCGTAATCCTTGAGCGAAGGGGTACATGTCGGGCGGTTGCACGTCACTGCATGTTTTCAACGAGGACACTTAACTGCAAAGCGTTGTTGGGACAAGATTCTTGAACCTTATATAAGTCTTTTCCAAGGAGCTATTGGAGAAGCCTTTATTTTTATAGACGTTAAAAGGAGGCCACACAAAGCTCAAACTGATCGCTGATTTTCTGGAGGAAGAGGGTATTTGGGACATAGTTGTGGCTTTTAAAGGTCCAGGACTAACTGCAACTTTGGCATGCTTTAGGAAGAGCCATAACACTTCCTGAAACCTTTTGAGGATTCTTCAGGCGTTAAAATCCTCACTTTTATAAGAAAAGCATTTATTACTACAAGCTATGATTAGCAACCTCATTTGCAATATAGGGGTATAAAATTTGCAATATAGGTAGTTCGACCGTCTGAAGCGCAACCCTGTTTGGCATTCTGCCAAAACACAGACTCGGGCAAAAGGGATGGTATTACTTGCTGTGACGTGAAAGGTCTTCTCTTCTCTGGAAAGAGCTATACTGGAGGGAAAGAAAGTCCCCATCCTTCCACCCTATTTTGAGAATAATTCGGTCCGAATGGCGCATGCGTGTTTGCGCTCATGGTCGCGGATGAAGCGGTTGAACTATACCTTGTAAGGCATGTAAAGTTGCGCGGGATGGGAACACGCTTTAAACCTGGTCATTCTGGAAATATGAGGTGGTGTTATGTTTCAACCATTTTAGTTTCATTTACATATCATAAAACATTTACGCCCTTTTATTTTGTTATGTCACTATTTTTTGTTACATAATAATGGGCAAACGTCCATTATGATAAACCAAATATTTTTAGAGGTATCACATATTTTATTTTTGTAAGCTTAATTTTGGACATTAATGTAGAAAATACTTAAAAAGAGGGTATATCATCCTTATACGGTGTCCAGTTTTCCTAAGCGCTTTAAATCCCACAGACCATATGTATTCGGGGAACGTCTTTCTCCAGGTCATTGTTCTCCAAGATATCTTTGAACCTGCAAATGCTAGAGCAACATTCATAACTCGAGTAAAGCTCGATAATTTTGTCCCAAGTATGTATTGTTGTACATCATATTTCGTTGTGGTAAATTATAGCATACTGAAATCATTTTTATACCTGTAAATCATTTTTGTTCTGCATGGGATATTATATGACTAATTAGTTACAGTTACCTTTCTTTGTTTAGAGAATTAGTTACAGTTACCTTTCTTTGTTTGGACAATTAGTTATTTTGCATTCTGAATTATCATTTAATTTATTATGCTGCATATGTAAAATTTATTGCTGAAGACTTAAGTACAGATGAAACGTATATTATCCTTAATTGAGCATCTCTTTAGACATACAAACACAGAAATAAATAAATAAATAAATAAATAAATTTGGAAACGTTAACTATAGTATAAGTAATTCATTTTTTGCCTCCTATCTGGATTCTGTGTTGCAATTTAAAACCAGTTTCGAATATCTAAAGTAAACTTAAGGGTTTATTTTTCAGAAGCATAGCCACCAAAGATTTTATACAAAATTTAAAAACATTTTGCAATATAATTTGCTCTTTTACTTCTCCTCAGCCTTCATCAACTTTTCACTATTCGAAGTATTTAAAACAGCCGAAATGTTTCCACGTCTATCCAAACATTGATAACTTAATTCAGAGGAGTCCCTACAGTATCCTTACCATCACTAAAAATAACGAAATTTATGTTACATCATAATAGTAATCTATGCAACACAAATTCAGATGATAATTTTATACAGTATTTTTTGTAATATACACGAAAGTAGTTACATCAGGAGTTCGAACATGTGGTAATACATTAACATTCATATGATGCGGGTAAAAGTGTTAAAAACGATGCTGAACATGTACTTAACGACATGAGCAACTCTCGACACTCATGTTAGGGTAGCTTTTCAGGACTACATTTCTGTTTTGATCATAGTAGAGAAGTGATACCGGAGAGAGCGAATTAGGAACGCAGCACAATCCTGGAACTCCTTTCTTCAAGCCAAGAGACTGGACAAGGCTCTGTATGGTGGCATGGTTAGAAGACTGAACGCTCTGTAAAACATAAAAAAATGGATAATATATTTTAATGTTTCTAAAATGGGCACGACAATTTAAACCCGAATAACGAATTAAACCATCGATGCCTAAAAGTAAACAGAGGCTTTAAATAACATTAAAATAAAAAACAAATCTGACGTGGGCACCACGTGACTTACTTGAACGGCTTATTAAATTATACACGTTTTTTGCTACGCTACATTTAAACGTATTTCCTCGAATTTCATTAGCGATGTGTTTCTTATCGATGCAATTCAGTTCTCACTTCGCAGCAAGGCAAAAATACAGAAAAACTCAAAAGATCTTCATTAAAAATTGTAAAATACAAGTGACGGAGGACGGGACGCCTGGTGTTGAACAGAGGTAAACAGGCATATGTCCCGCGCCCTCCCCTATCTATACGCAGAAACTCCCCCAAATACAGGCAAAGAAAAACAATTTTTGCCCTTAAATTTAGAGTTTCTAAGGGAATACAGGCAATTTGGCCAACGGGAAGAAAGACAAAATTTTCGGTGCGCAAAATTTTAAAGATCACTTTTGATCCCACTAGGCCAAAAGACCCTGAAATTGCTATGTCAATTGACTTTATTTACTGTATTACTAAGAGTTCCAAATGTAAACAAATAGTCGGCGCCTTAGGCCTATCACCACTTTTAAACTGTTGATAATTCTACAACTATTGCATGCAGGTTAACTAAAGTCATGAAAACCTTAACCGAAACATAAGAACAATATAATTCAATCACTTTTAAAGCAAAAAATGCACAATTTACCAACATATAAGAATAAAAAAAAGCTCACAGAGCCGAGTAAGAAGATGGATATATATACCCATTTTCTTACCCAGCTTGTAAGTTGTATGCATATATATTTCTAGAGGTGGATTGCAACAAAAAAGAGAGGTGGACATGCAGATAAACAGTTTCATATACAAAGTTTCAACGCTGTACAAGTTATCATTTTTGAGTTATGCAAGACATACATACGTACGTATATACGCACGTACAGACGTCTCGAAAAAAATCCCTTCTGAATCCATTTTGGAAAAAAAAGAGTCCTTTATTCTGTACGTACGTACAGTTAGTTATAAGGCAAATCAAATGACTTCGAGAACGATCAAAAAGAATATTTTCGTTGAAATATGATACCCTAAGTTTTTCGTGTACTATAAATAGCGTTGAAACGGTAAATGTATAACGAAAATTGCTAAAGCATTTGCAAAGAAAAGCTTTGTAAAAGGACCCGTGTCATTTATGGTTTTTCAGTATACTTATCTGTTTGCGCAGGAAAAAAAAAATGAGTGTTGCCATTCCAAAAAATTTGGAAATGTTTTCACTAACTGTAACCGTGAAAGATGTATTATTTTAAATCATTATAATCTCGAGCGCATACCTTCAAATAACAACATCTGAAATTCCATTTCTATTGGTTAAGCGGATAGACCGCTAGGGGTTCATATATCGAGTATAACAGCCCTCTACTTCAGAACAATATGCGAGATCAGAAAATTCTAATTTCTTTCTTATTCTCTATGTTGACTGAATATGCAATAATAAGTGATTTTTGTAATAAACCTAATTATTTGCGTGTCAGTTTCTGAAATCACAAACCAATCTAACTTGTCTTCTTGATGTTGGAAGTTTTTCCTCGATAGTGTATATGCATGTATTTTCACATATAAAGCCGTGTCCCCAAAAGTCCTTTATTTTGCTACCATTGGTCGTAGATATATGTCTCCAGTTACTAAAGTATTTTAAATGGCGTATTCATCTTTTGGCCCTTTCGTATCCCTATACGTATCCCATACGTATATTTAGATCCCTATAGGTATATTTGAAAAATGATATTTTAAAAAATAAAAAAAAAAATTTTTGATTTCCGTACGCTAAAATTGACCGAAATATTTAATTCCTAAATCTGCGATATTTGGCTTCATTTTCAGCTTAGTTACTAAGTATATTAGAAAAATTCAAGGCAGTTTTTTTCTCTTATTCTAATGAATGCTATTTATTCCTTAGATATTTCTTTGTGTGTAACATTCTATAATTTATAATTTTATTAATAATTTATAATATTAATCATATAATTAATTTTGTTAATAATTTATAATAGTAATTATAAATTATTAACAAAATTCCTTGTGTGAAAATTAGAAAGAATTTTAGAAGGGATGTATAAATTTTCGAACATTTATAATATAGCATAAATATTCTCATACAGTGTTTTTACTTGAGAATCAAAAATCTAACAATCATTAAAAAACATTTACTAAACTAGAAGTTATTGATTTTGCTTTACGATTTAAAAAAATCGTCTACTTGGAATTTTTTTTTAACTGCAACTTATATTTTTAAAGTATAAATTATGGTATGCTACATGCAAATGGTATACTATATAAATACTCGTTTTCATGCAAAATGGCACTTTTAAAGAAGCAATGTATGGAAGGCTATGTTTGTGCTCTTTCCGAAGAAAATGACTCGTACCTGGTTATTAAAAAACGCTGTGAAAGCAATGGTTTTCCGATACCTAAAGCTACGACAAGTAATATTGTCTACAACAGGGATGGGCAAACTACGGCCCGCGGGCCAACTACGGTCCGCCAGAAGGTTCTATCTGGCCCGAGGATATAATTATAATTTGCCGGTCCGAGGCAAATTAAAAAAAATATGTATTTATATATTATATACCATCTCCTTTTCTAACTTTGTTTAAATATTATTTTTTTCTTCCTTTTTTCAAAGAGCTGATGATTTTTTACTTTATTTTTGTTCTACAAAACATGAATTAACTGAAATAGCAAGCACAGACAGCTTTGAAATTGGTAAATTGTTAAAAGCGGAAATTCTTTGTTAGTTATAGCTGTAGATTGGCGCCAACAGGCGTTATTTCTTTCTCGGGGAGCAGACATATGGGAATCCAATGTAGGTGAATTAGTCTTCTTAGAAAAAACTTAACTTAATTAATTAGCTTAACTTAAAACTTAATAAGAAAACTTAATCTGTTTTCTGGGCAGCTAGCTAGTCTCATTTCCAGAGGTTAAATTCAATACCCTCCGTAAATGAAGAGAAGCTTAAGAATTATGAAGATGGCCTGAAAAAACTGCATTTTGAGTTCGAATGAAGATTTTAAGATTTCAGTGCCATTCAAACAGAATTGGATATTTTTACCATGCCTTTCAACGTAAACTGTGAAGCAGTGAGGTCAGATTTGTAGCTTGAATCAACTGAGTTGCAATCTAAAGCAGTTTTTTTCTAAATGTGCCAAAGTTATAGTTTTATAAATCATTATCGAAAGTAAGTTTTCAAAATTTAATATCTCACGCCCGGAAAATCAGTGCCATGTTCATCTTATATATGTGAACAAGTGTCTTCAACTATGAAACTTAAAAAGAATTATTTCAGAAGCAGACCGACAAATGAGCATTTAGCCTCGTTCCTTAGAATAGTACATTTTACTTCGAAACTCAATATAAGGAACTTTTACAAATGAAATCGCAATTTCATGCATATTAACATATTTAAATTGTAATACTTCTATATTGTTTCTAAAATTTTAGAAAAACTTTTTCTTGGGCTCGCCAAACTTTTTGTTTACGATTTTTGGCCCGCGACCGAAAACGTTTGATCATCTCTGGTCTACAAGAAAGGGGAAAAAAAAAAAAGTCAAAGTTTGGGTTCAGGCGGAAAACTTGTTCCAAATACATATCCAAGGAAAAAAAACAGAATGTTTCGAATGTTGCGAAGCTAAGATCTTCAGTCATAAAAGAATATCCACAAAGTTGCAAAATCATTAAAATGCTTAATATCAACTGTAAACAAAGTGATTAATGCTCATTTTAATATTAAAAAAAAACTTAAAAACATAAGGTGCATCGTCTTTCTTAGCGACATATCGCCGAACGCATTACGTACTGCAGAATTCTTCACAAGAAACATTTATCCCAACAAAAATGGGAAAATTTTATCACAATAAATGAATCTTGGGGCATTTAAATGGCTTCAGTGAAAAGAAATCCATGAAAGGGAAGCTGTTGAAGAAGAATGGGGTAAAATACCTCTTCCCCCCCCGATACTATAAAAGGCTCTTGGAAATTACGGTGTAGAAAGATAGTGAGGAATAAGGTTTATCGAGCAGAACATTTAAAACACAAAAATTTAGGAAAATTGTAATGAAAATCGTCTAAAAATGTACGAACAACCTCTGTATTGAATTAAAAAATGACAAAACATGAATATTTGCGTTATTTGAAACACTTTTGTAATTGTAAGTATATGTCTACAAACTATGGTTGGAAAAATAATGACTGATTAGGACTTCTATGAAAAGTGCGTAAATATGTACAGGACCGGATATATATTTACAGTAATATGATTCCTAATTAAATAACTTCAGGTAATCGTTTTAGCCGCAATACATTTCTTAATCTCTCCTACATCGTATATAAGATATTCCGCTGGTTATGAAAATACAGTAGTATCTCCCAGTAAGAAACACCCACTAGACCAGACCTTTTTTCCCTTAAACAGAGGTGTCCCATCTTCAGAGAGGTATGCTAAAAATATAAATTAGAAATTTAGGTTGCATCAAGCTTTAAATAAATGATATATAAATAAGTAACATTGTCACAGGTTTTTGAATTTGAAATTAATGAAAATGAAAATTCTTAATTAGAAAAGTTAAATTATTGCAAAAATGCATGAATTCAGTTATGTACTTACATGCATTTAAACACATACGTACATCTTACACAATTCAAAATAATCCGTTACACGGGTTTGTTTGGAAGCCTGTAAAAACTTGAATTTTTCGATGTGGATCGAAGTCACTGATAATCTTAAAATCTTCACTATTACCAATAGTGATCATGAATTGTTCTAATTGTGAGGTGTGTTTTAAGGCATCAGTACAGTTTTATGTCACACTTTTTATCTGGCTTTTCTTCGCCTTCCTCACTGCTCCCCAAGCTATTTTTGTTAAGGCTCACATCATAAACTATAGTTGAAATGAGTTTATGTCCTCACTGGTGTCTTCAGGATACAAGCGTTCATCAATTTCTAAATACTCTTGCATATTTATTATTTTCACTGATGGCACTCAAAATTGGAATTTCGAAGCCTGCTTTCTTAAAATAGTGCTAAAACGTTTTAATACGGATTTAACAACTTTTGTTACCTACTGACACATTGATACATTTTGCAAACTGACCGTTGTTTCCGCGAGCATCCTGACAAAGATCATGGTGCCCGTTTCACCCGTTTTACATTTGGTTGGTCTTGAATTTTCAAGACACAGCCAAATTTTCCTATTCTTTCTAGACATTGTTGCACTGAAAGCAACAAGCCATTCCGATATTATGCTTTGCATCATCCATGATTTTAAACTATGATGCCAATGGACCGATAAAGCCTTTGGACTGATGTGTTTGAGGCATTTTGGTTGGCTAATCTTTGGACTATGGTAACAGGTAGTTTGGCGATATTTTGGTAAGGCGATAAAGGTTACTAGCTAGGACTTTAGCAGTGTACACGGATAAAGTCAAGAGTGTGCGCAATGCCATTTTTGTGCAATTCTGGGATGTTTTTTTAATTGAAAATAGGTCGACGTGTACATGGATACCGTGTATGTACAATTCTTAAAAACGCGGCAAGCAGTGGGCGATTCTGCACTTTCTCCCAATTTCGCACCTAATCTTCGTCATGATTAAGCACTTTTGTTCCATAAAAGTTCTAGCATAAGCGTAATTCGGCTAGTAGATTGTTGGAAAAAAATTTTGAGGAAAAAAAAAAAACACATGCCTTTACTTCGTGAAAACAAAATGGCGTCTCAAAAAATAAAAAAACTAGCAGGTTGCTGTAGCAGGGTTGGTCGCCAAATTTTCGCCAAAAAATCGCCAAGTTACCATAATCCGAAGATTAACCTTTTGGTTTTTGGCCTTTCGAATTACAAGTGATCAACTCTCCTTATGTGTTTCAATAAAGTAGGTAGAGTGAGACTTTTCGTTGAATCTTTTACCACCAGAGCACTTTTGTCCTTTGAAGTACAACGTTTCATTAGACAAAATTCAATAAAATAATCCCGTTTCTGCTGCACTATGGATGTTTATAGCCTCATTACTTCACAAATTCCATTTAGTCTTTTTAGCTAGTCTGTTACAAACTGCACATTTATTGATTTCTCTTCACCACAAATGATCTTAAAAGTGATGTTATGTCATGTCTTTGCTTAAGGTTGTCTAACCAACCATTTAATGCACTGAAGTTCTGTAGTCCCAGACTTTCCACAACTTCTTTTGCCTTTTCTTGCAATAATATTCCACTTACAGGAATATTGTTTGGTCTTACAAAATAAAACCAGTTGAACTCTAATGTATCAATTTCACATGCTTCAGTTTTTCCAAATTTTGCAGTCTTGGAATCTTCATTTGAATTAGTAATCCATTGTAATTTTATTTCCTTTCTATCCTTTAGCACATGGCTTACTTGGTTTTTACTTATACCAAATATCTGCCCTAAATCTCTCAAACTAAGCTTTTCAGATTTTACTACATGAATTAAATCAACTTTTTGTTTTAATGTTAATCTTTTCCTCTTTAAAGTCATGATAAATAACATATGTAAAATAACACTCAAGTGCAAAACTGCACTACTTTGGCTTCCCTGTCCTAGCATGAACTAAGAATGGTGAAAGTTTTCACAGTATCATATTCTGAGATTGCTGTTTCTTGGCAGGTGGCCTAGTCATCTCACATTTCCCTTTTCAATTGGTTCTAAGCCCACCAGCGGCCGAGCGCGGTGAACACTGGTAAGTCGCTGAACACTGGTAGTTCGGTCCGAGGTGCGAATCCCACGAACGGGCTGGCTGCATGCGTGATTTCGTGATTTTCCGCATGTGTAACGTTTATACGAGCCAATTTCCCTTAGAAAGTCCTCCACGAAGGGATCCCTCCTCTTAGGCAGATAGCCCTCGAGGCTTTGCCGTAATTAAATAACCTAACCTAACAATTGGTTCTATCTTGGACTGCCTTACAACTTGCTATAGGGTAATCCAAGATACTTGTTTTCTTCCCCCTACTGTGAACTGCAGCAAGAATAACTGGATTTTTTATTCTATGAATAAAATTAATGTTGTGAAATTTATGAATGTGAAATATCCTTCTGATTGCACCCCAACTTGAATTTTCCCAAGCTATTGTTCCCATTTTCCTAATTGAAAAACAGTTTTCAAAATAGAGGAATTAGCTTTCCATTTTACTGTTTCCTTGTAACAAAACTATCTTTCACTGAGCATAAATTTACCTTTGAAACCTCAAAAGATTACTAACAAAGAATATTTCTACTTTTATTTATTTTTCTACTTCTGTCTCATTTTTGCAACTGATTTTTGGTGCCTCTTAAATACAGTGTCCGTTAGTAAGAGGTAAATACATTAAGGTCCCTATTCAAAGGGACCGACACAACAGAACTGTCCCTTAAATAGGGGTGTCTCTTGTTTGGAGATGTACCGTCCAGGAGGTACTACTGTATAGCTTCGTTCAGACGGCGACGTAAAGGGCATAAATAGTTAAAGCCGAGCTCTGTTGCCAAGACAACCAGTCTGTGCTAAGTCACAAAATCTGGTTTAGGGTTCATGGCATAGGGTTCAAAGTTTTCAACTTTACGCCGAGTTTGGGATAAGCGTCGACCAATCAGAGCGAAGCTAAAACGAAGCGGCGTTTTACAGAAGATTTCGCTGTTACAACAAGCAGAGCGAACGCGGGAAATCAATCGAGCAGGAGAACAGCGCAGGAAAGTTGTAGACACATCCAAGCATGCGCAAATTTAGCTTCTCTCATTGGCCACGGCTTACACTCCGTTCTCGCAAGTGTGAACGGAATTACCGTATTTTATGCCCTTATGACTACGCCTCTATGCCCTTTACGCCGCCGTCTGAACGCAGCCTATTATACCGTGACGTTCGTGAATTCCTCCAGTTGGCCGTGATTATACTCACCTTCTTCAGTGGGTGAGGACACACTCCAGAGCAGTAAGATGCATCGAATGTTTTAGGAGATATGATCCAGTCACCCCATCCAATGTCCGTGAAGCTTACAATCATTTTTCTTTTCTGACAAATAAGCTGATCATTATCTTCATCATCGTCGTCATCATCTTCTTCATCCCCTTCATCGCCTGGTCCAGATTTCAAGTCATTCATTCTCCACCAGCCTGGAACAAAACAAGATTATATGGGATTTCAATTCCGCTGTAACAAAACTCACGTGATTTTGAATATCCCTCTATCTATATTAGGGCTGTATTTAAGGAATGGATATCAGAAGCTTTGAGCTTTAATTTCTCGTTAAAACAAATTTAATTTGAAAATTAATCATTACAAAGAATTACATAAAGAATTTAATTTGTAGTTTATTATTACAAAGAAATTCCTTTGCAGCTTCAGCTTTCAAGCCGCATTTAAAGATGTTATAAATTTATAATAAATGCTTACAGTTAAGAAAGCCGTTGATCGAGCATTTAAATAAAATTTTAACGACAGTTTTGAATTGTTTATGATAAAATCTTTGCTTTTGTACTCTTCAGTTTAAAACTTCAATTAATATTTAAAAACTATAAGAGATACAATTATTTTCCTAAGCGTTCCTGTACGTTCTTTAAAACATAACCGATTACAAATTATGGAGGTGTGGTAGTGTTGACATAAAGTACAATTTATATTATCATGTTGTAAATGCTGAGAAAACTTTACCTGATACGTAAATTGTTTTATGTGATTACATCATAGGCTACCGCCCAACTGGGATAGTAGTTAGTAATGTTGACTGCCGTATCGAAAGACCCGGTTTCGAATCCTGGAGAAGGCAGGGATGTTTGTAAATGTATAATGTCTGTGCGGCAAGGGGCACTCTAAGTATGCGGTTAGCTGAAAGTCCTCTCAAAAGGTTGGTGGTACGGGAAGAGGGGAGGAAGACTCTCGGATACGTCCCCCCGGATGCTCTTCTTCAAAAGGGGGGGGGGGAAGAACTCAGCGAAGTAGTACTGTCACCTATATAGTGCTCTAGGCTCTTGCGAACGACAAGCGCAATCTGGACCCCTTGAGACACGATGAATTTCTTGAACTTTCCCTGATATCAGAGGCCCACCAGCGGCCGAGCGGTAAAGACGCTGAACACTGTTAGTTCGGTCCGAGGTTCAAATCCCGCTAACGGGCTGGCTACATGGCGTTTTCGTGGTTTTCCCCATGTGTAACGTGTATACGAGCCAGTTTCCCTTAGAAAGTCCTCCACGAAGGCATCCCTCCCTTTAGGCAAATAGCTCTCGTGTGCTTTGCCATAATTAATTAATCCAATCCAATCCAATCCAATCCTGATATCAGACACCTGATCTGATATTACTGTCGAACGGGTGGGATAAGCGACAAACAAACAAAATACAGATTGTAGGCTTGTGAAACAAGTTGCTCGCACGTGCTTAATTGAAATTTCCGAATCATAGTATCCGAAGATTAATGTGTATACTTTGAAAATTAACGGTCTTATTCACCGCCCATATTCTAAATTTTACAGAATCTGATTTCTCCCCCAGTAGTTTGGTTGGATGCTGGATCAGGGATTCCCAAACCTTTTCCTTGCACCAACCTCTTTTAAAAGATTAATTTTCTTCGACGACACTTATATTTTTATCTATAATTTACAGCACACACAATAATCGCAATACAAATAATTGCTCATAAAATAACTTAAAAATGTCAATTAGGCTAAGAATATCGACAAAAGATTTAAAGAAAGTGGTTTATTAGACTCGCGTTAACTTATTTTTTGTACTATTATTAGCCCAAAAGGGCCTATTAGTCTCGAAATGGGATTTTGCGTTGTTTCACCATAAACGACGTATCACTTTTCAAATTGTTGCCACCAAATATTATCGTCCTGTATTATTAAGAAGTTAAATAATGAGGAATTTGAATGTATCTACTATGTACGTTCTTCACGAAAAAACGACAGTACCTAGTGCCATCCAATTTTGAATAGCGTAGTTCTCCACTCGAAGATGGCAAATTAATGATAAATCGGTAAATAATAAAATGCCGAACCTCATCTTATTTGGGCTCCGGCTAAAGTTAAAATTTCGCTTAAAAACTGAGAAACAGCTCAGCCGGACTCTGGCTGAAATTAAGCCTGCAATATACAGTATAAAATACTATTTGAAGGAATGCCAGAAACAGATATCATTATTTTTTTCAGCACAGCGATCAAAAATGATAAAACAGTTAATAATGAGAATAGACAGAATGCCAGAAACCATATGAGAGTATGGAAGGAAGTTTTAAGGGAGATCTGTAAGTATGAAAACAAAGAAAATAGAGTCTAATTTCTTCTGACCATCATTCCCTGCCGATATAATTGTAGCAGTAGCACATGACACCAGAAAAACATTCCTTCCAAATCGGAGAACTGAAATGTAAAGTGACAATTTCCCTCCACTGTATTGGTTACAACGTTCCAAAAAGACTGCAGGTTTTCCTTTTAGGAGGAAGGTCACTAGCATTGGACATTCACGAGTAGAATGATCTTCATGAGCGAAACATTTATTTGGTTTTATAATTTATTGCACTTTCTGGAGAAAAAGCCTTTGGCATGTGGATAGGGCTTTTTTCCCCTTAAAACCTCACCCTCCTTCAAAAACTTTGATTCCCATGGAGCCCTCCTATTTAAGGATCTAGAGCTCTCCTGCTGAAATTACGCTTTATGATAAAAACTGAGAAATACTTATACTGATCGGCACAATTTAAGCTCTGGTCTAAATACAGAAAAGTCAATGTCCAGCATCATTAATGTACATCATCATTCAGTCTCCAGCATCATTAATACCATCGCGGCACTGGGCACAGACCTTTGCCAACCGTGCTAAAATGACTCGGTCACCAGACTTCGGCCTCCACCATCTGGTGTACTGATGATAAGCTCTACCACTAGTCCAATGAATTTTAAAATATCTGCTCATCACAACAACTTTATGTGTTTAAGCTCCCATGCCCACCAATTTAAAGCGTCCAATACTAATAATTCGCAAGTGCATAACATCTCCTTAGTGAGATGTGTTATGCCTCCTTAATAATATGTGTGTAATCCCTTCAACAGCATGTGAACAAGCATCTTTTAGTGCAGTGTTAGTGAACGTTTGTGTGCCTCACGGTGCACTAATTGCTGGGACACTGCCCAATAATTAGTGCTACAACATCCTCGTGTTATTATACAGAGGCTCTTCACACATTTTTAGACGATGTATATTGTATTCACAAAACTAAATTACATAAAATTCTTGTGTTTTAAATGTTCTATTTGACATCTCTTATTCTGAACTATCTTTCGACATCGCAATTTCCAGGATAATAACGCCTTTTGAAGTGGCAGAAGAGGTATTTTATCCCATTCTTCCCGAACAGCTGAGCGATATGCTTTGAAAGAAGACGGTGCGCATTGCGTTTTTACGCTTTCTAGAGATTTAAATCAACGTTTATCATTTTGTTTATAGTGGACACCGAGCATTTTAATGATTTTGCAACTGTCTTTTGACTAGGGGGATTTTCTTTTAACACTTAAACAACGTACCTTTGCAATAGTCGAAGATGTCCGTTTTTACTTGGATACTTGTTTGGAATTTTTGTCCCACCTGAGGCTCCAATTTGACGTTTTTTCCTTTCTTGTTGATGATATTACCTATCGACGCTTTAGATATCACAAACCATGGCTCTCACTCACATCGTTTTGGATAACGGAGTATGCATATTTTCTCTTCGGAAAGAGCGTAAATGTAGCCTTCGAACCACTGCTTTGTTAAATTCGCCATTTTGAATAAAAACAAAACTTTCAAGCCACAGACGATAATTTTGATTTTTAAAAAATAGTACAATTGCAATTACTTCTTTTGCAGCAAACGATTTTGTATTACCGCTCACCAAAATCGTCTAAAAAATGTGCGAACAGCCTCTGTAATCAGTATTTTTAGTAAGTGCTATATCAGTGCCTGACGCTAGAATAATCAATGCCTTACGCAATCTAACTGCACTCATCTGCACACATGAGTATTCACGAACTAATCATGCAAAATTTACCTGTATTTATATACTGCCAAACTGCCCAAAACTAACTTTGTGCTCCAGCCTTCATGTGACTTCATGTACTCCAATTGTCTTTTTGTTCTTTAAGTGATTATGTGCATGTACCTGTTTCATGTGTTCTCTGCTTATGTATTTTGAGCTTTGTGTATTATTTGTTTTATGTGTATTTAATGTGTATGTCTTATTGTACTTTTACTTTAACTACTTACCATCTGTAACACCACAGCTTGCTTCTCCAGTCTGTAATACAATCCTACTAATGCCTTTGTAAGGCCATGTACTTCCCTTTGACAACCTTAATAATCTCCTGGTGCAGCCTCGTGGGGCTCCAAGCTATTGCTGTAGTTAGAGGAGCGCGTGGAATACATGCCTGTTTACCTCTGTTAGACACCAGACGTCTCCGTAATATACCTACCTACAGAAAAGACATCGCACGCACCAGCCGCTGAGGACTACCACTTCGTGTATGACAAGCTGTGGTGCATCATTGTTATGGCAGTGATGCACGGCTATCATAGCAGGGATAGGTCGCTATAACAACAGAGAATAAAATGAAACCACGTCTGGACAATCGCAATTATTTGCATAGATAATCATTTCCAGCATCATTTTACTACATAAAACGTTTTCATCGTTATAAAATTTTCAAATATATATATATCTTGTGAGACACGGTTAGAATAAAATATTACTTTTCTCAAAGTTTTTTGCTGGTATGTTATTTAGTTTTTGTTCCACAACTTTTCTAACAAAGTCCTGCAGTCATTAGATAACCTATACTACCGAAGATGTTTTCGGATGAAGCTAACACTTCCAATGTAATAAATATGGAAGTTTAGCCCAAGTGAAAGATAAGAATAACCGCATATGCGATAAAATTAGAATGTATTTATCAGATGGGGGAAAAAAAAAACAAGAGCTACCAGAAATAATGAGCAAGAAGGAGAGTACTGCAAACTCGACTGCTTACTCCACATTCCGTATAAGAGGACGATCACATTTTTTTTAAACCGTCAAATGATTTCTGCTTGTTCAGGAGAACATCTTTGAAGTAACGCGGTTATCTACGAAATAGCTAGACTGAGGCAGT